GGAAACCCCACCTCTAAACAGGGATGTAATTGTGCATCATCCCCAGTGCAGTGATGTCACCCAGAAGTGACGTCATCATATTGGGGGTGTTGTGCATGGATGCTCTGGTATCTGGGCAAGCTCTATGGTTTGAGGGCAGAGCGTCCCTGACGTGATGTCACTTCTGGGTGATGTCATTGCAATGTCCCCACCCGCCCCTGGAATGCCCCCCAGATCCCCCCACCAGAGCAATGAGGGGACCTGATAACCCTAGGGAAGTATATGGGAAAAGTGAGATTCTCTCTCACAACTCCTTGAGGATCCCTACCATACAGTGTGGCCTGGCCCAGTGGCCAGCACCACACAACTGGGCCATAGTTTTCCTAGGCAGAAGCTGCTGGGGGAGGAGAGAGAAAGCTGAAGGCAAAGATACAGACAAGTGTAGGCTGGCTGCTGGGTGGGAAGGAGAGAATGGGACAGGGTTTAGGGTCCGCTGCTCTTAACCGCGCACCAAAACAGCTGAGGGTGAGGGCCGTTATCCCACAAGTCCTTGTTGGTTTTCCTCCTTGTATATTCTAACAGCAAAGTTAGCCTTATCTGAGGATCCTTAAATCTGGATACTGGAGCCATGAATAGGCAAGGTAGAAAAAATGCCCCAGGTTTGCAGAAAAAGCTGAAATCTAAAAAAATACATGGGGGTTAAAAAAACAAATTAATAAAAGGAGTGCCTGCTGCTTTAAGAAACAGAAGCCCTCCTTGGCCATGGCTGGGCAACCACAGCATTCTAGACTTTGTTTCTGTTATTAAAAAGCAGGGGAGGGGCAGGGCCCTTTCTAGGGGTGCTTTAGCCTTAACAGAGTCAGGCCTGGCAACAACCACTGGATGACTTGATACCACCCTATTTGCATGGTTCACCTAGGCCTGGCCACTTGCTGCAGTTCAACAGCAGCCATCCAAGAAAACAAGTGTGGTGTAGTACCGGTAGTTAGAGCTTCCAAGTAGGCTCTTGGAGACCCTGGTTTAAATCAAAGTGGAAACTCACTAGGTGATGTCACATATTTTCAGCCTAACCTACTTCACAGGTTTCTTAACCTACGCCACTGTTTCTTAAAGCAGCAGGCAGTCCTTTTATTAATTTGTTTTTCTTAGTATAAAAAGAAGGATAGGAGAATTATATAAGCTACTGTGGGCCCCACTGTATGTGGGAGGCAACAGTGGGAGGGCTTCTAGTGCCCTGGCCCCACTGATGGACCTCCTGATGGCACCTGGTATTTTTGGCCACTGTGTGACAGAGTGTTGGACTGGATGGGCCATTGGCCTGATCCAGCATTCGCTTCTCTTATGTTCTAAAGGTCAGGTATTAATAAAGTAAATTCATAAATATAGCTGAAGATGGAAGGCAGATAAAAGGTAGGTTGTTAAGTGGCTGAAAAGAAGAGGATGAGGCAGGGAAAGGGGAGAGGATATGGGAGGTGCCATGAAGAGGAAAAGTAGTGTACATGGTATGAAGAGGGGGATACAGGGGAAAGTGAGGTGCCCCTGGCACGTCCTAGCGGGTTTCCTACTATGCAACCAGTACCACACAGCTGAGCCATAGTTTTCCCAGGTAGAGGCTACTGGGTGGGAAGGGAAAGATGAAGTCAAGGGGGCAGATAAATGTAAGTTGGTGTTGGGTGGGAAGGAGAGAAGAAAGCAGAAAAAGATGCAGGTATGGGTCCTTTTAGGGAAGGGGCAGAGAAATAGTGCAGGAGTTGAAAATGTGAGATCCACACACACCCGTAACTCCTTGCTGGTTCCCTACTTATTCATATCTGAGTTTCTGCATATCAGGAATTCTACCACCATTTTTCAGGTGAGAGACATTGAGGATCTGAGAGTGTGGTTATCTCATCATAGACACAATTTTAAATAATAGTAATTTTTGTAAACAGTATTCTAATTTGTGACTTTCATAGGGAGATGTAATAATAATAATAATATACTTTATTGTCATTGTACATAGTACAACGAAATTAAAGGTGCAATCGTTCGGTGATCTACAACCATACTCCTACACTCACACAACCATTCACAAGTAAATGCTGCATGGCAGATTAAAATACATAGGTGGTAACTTTCTGGAGACTAGGATGGGGCCTGGGAGAAGACCAGGATTCTCTAGAGAGTTAGTGCTGAGTGTCATCTGCATATGGACGACATAAAACGCCAAAGCTCTGGATTGGAAGATCTCATTCAGTAGTCTCATGTAAATACTGAAGAGTGTGGGTGTCAAATTGAAAGTCAGCAGGGTAGACCTTGACCCTCTTTACATAGAGTTTGCTGTTGTTTTCCCCGTACCTAGCAGTGTGTGGGGATTTATCTACCTGGAGAACTGGCTATTGTAAAGAAAACCAAAGCAATCTATGTGCATGTGCAGCCAATAAGTTCCCATTTATAAGATGATCACAGAAAGGACCTGTCATATATAAATTAATCTTGCTCACCCTGACAACTGAAGAACAAAAAGTGTGTATGTCCATTTCCTGCCTTTGGCAGGAGGGCTGGTATGGCCATCATGGTTAAAAAACAAAGAAATGGCCACTTAACTGGACAAATAGTTTTGAGGGGGCCCTAGGAGGTGAAGTGAGAGGTGGTATTACCACTTTGTTCAGGAACTGGGGAGTAGAGGAAGATTTCATAGCACTTACAATCACCTGAGGTATATATGCAGCTGAAGCGTCATCTTTTGGTATATATATGGTTTTAACCCATTCAGAATATGTCTTCCAAGTTGGAGAATAAGAACTCATGAAGCTACTGAAGTTACATTACACTGAATCAGACCATCAGTCCATTAGGGTCAGTATTTTCTGCTTAGATTGTCAGTGGTTCTTCAGGGACCCCAGTTGAGATCTTTCACATCACCTGCTTATTTGATCCTTTTAACTGGAGGTGCTGGGGACTGCAATATGTTGGTACATATTACTATTTTTCCCCGAGGTATATTTTGGGTATGTGTATTTTGATGCAAATTTTAAAATGTGCACTTATATATTTTAGTGGCATCTTTACACAAGAGAGGGACTTTTCAGTGGCAGCTCTGTGATTATGGAACATCCTCCCCAGGGAGGTGTGGCTGGCCTCCTTGCTTTTGATCTTTATGAGGCAGTTGAAGAAGGGGTTTTTTAAGGATTGCTTTTGGTTAAGTTTAGTAGCAGTCCTCAGTAGTGATTTTAAATGTTGGTTTTTTATGTTTTTAATGTATTTTATTCTATGTATTTTAATTTGTAAGCTGCCTTGAGCTCTGTAAGGAAGAAAGGTGGCTAATATTTTAAATATTGGGGAGAGGATTTCACCATGATACCTGATAGAGTGTGATGTACCGCAAGGGGCAATCCTCTCACCGATGTTGTTTAACATCTATATGTACCCCCTCGCCCAGTTGGTCCAGAGATTTGGGCTGGATTGTTATCAGTATGCTGATGACACCCAGCTTTATCTGTTGATGGACAGCTGCCGGGACTCCACCCCAGATATTCTGGACAGGGCACTGGAGTCCGTGGCTGGTTGGCTACAGCAGATCCAGTTAAAACTAAATCCAATTAAGACAGGGGTCCTGTACCTGAGTCATGGGGGCTGGGATTGGGACTCTATCTCCCAACCCTGGATGGGATGTACTGCTGACACCAGCGCTGAGGGTGAGGAGCCAAGTGTGATCTTGGATGCCGCACTCTCTATGGAGGCCCAGGTCACCAGTGTTGCCAGATCAGCCTTCTATCATCTATGGCTGGTCAGGCAACTGGTTCCCTATCTCACTTCCCGGGACTTGGCTACAGTGATCCATGCAAAGATCACTTCCAGGTTAGATTACTGTAACTTACTCTACTCAGGGCTGCCCATGAACCTGACCCGGAAACTGAAGCTACAAAATGTGGCAGCGTGCCTGTTGACTGCAACATCAGTGCAGGCGCACATTCAACCAGTGTTAAGCCAATCGAACTGGCTGCCAGTTGTGTACCGGATTCGATTCAAGGTTATGGTAATGACCTTTAAAGCCCTACGTGGTCAGCGACCAGCATACCTATGGAACCGACTCTCCCCATATGTGTCCCAAAGATCTCTATGCTCAGCTGACCAACACCTTCTGGTAGTCTCCAGCATGAAAGACAACCATTTAGCCTCAACAAGGGCCTTTTCTGCCCTGGCCCTGGCCTGGTGGAACATAACTCCCACTGGAGATCAGGGCCCTGCGGGACTTATTACAGTTCTGCAGGACCTGTAAAACGGAGCTATTCTGCCAGGCCTTTGGCTGAAGCAGCAGGTGTCTAATTCATCTCAGCCTCCCCTGCTTGCACTGCAATCCACGAGAGAGCCTTTTTTGGTGATGGTACCAAAGCTCTGGACCTCTCTTTCCAGGGATACTCATCTGTCTCCTTCTATTGCCATCTTCTGCCAGTGGCTGAAGACTTTTTTGTTTGGTTTGGTTTCCCTCAGTGATCCATCCTTCCTACTCAGCATTTTAATCATTTTTTAAATTGTGTATTTTAGCTCTGGTTTTAATTGTTCTAATCATCTGTTTTTGTTGGTTTCATTGGTTTTTAAGATGTGATTTTATTATGTAGGTTTTTAATTTGTCTAGCCGCCTTGATGGCCCTGATGAGGGCAAAAAGGTGGGGTATAAATTTTGTTAAAACCCTGCTAGAATCCAAAGAGTTTATTTAGGTATGCTAAAAAAATATGCATGTTCTGTAAAATGTTGACTCTTTTTCTTGGAACAGTGTGCTTCATCCCAAACTGCTCTCAAAACTCTCCTTTCTTTGATGTATTTACTCTAACTCTCTTTTCTTTGATGTATTTCCCCTAAAGTTTATATTAAGACAGTGTTTTATGAATTACAGGATTGGTTCTGAGCCTCTTTGATGTGCACGTCCTCGAAAAAGTAAACTTTCATTTGACAATAATATTAGCTGCTTGTGTTTTCTTTTCAGATTTTCTTGTTGGAGCTGTATCATCATGAGGGAATCAGAAGACGTATCCTTCAGCAGCATAGATAATGAATGGAAGAGGACAAGAAAACAAAAAGGACATGGCATATAAGAGGATTTAAGACCTGGAACTCTTGGCTATAACACGCCTGTAAAAATGGGGCTTATTCTCTCAAAACAGAAATTACTGTAGCAAGTCATCAAGTTTGGAGTCATGCTGCTGAACTAGAAATAAGTATTTTTCTCTCTTTTCGGCCAGTAACAGAGCATTGATGGATTATGATTTTCCCTATTTGGAAACATTCATTTTACCCATTTAGGCTATCCTCATGACTACATAAGGAACAGACAGTTTCACACAATATTGATCATGATGGGCAACTGAACTTGTCCAAACACACAAACGCAAAAATGGCAGATTTTGCAGACTTGGTTCCAAATTGAACCAGAGCTTCCCAATGCACTTTTTACAATCTGGGAATTGCTGTACTGTATGGCCGCCTTCTGAAGACCATGACGACATATAAAATAAGGATATCATCTTATTGTTGATATCTTTGAAGAGTCATAAGTAGAATCAGAAAAATGAATGGAGGCAAGGAGTGTGATATTGGGGACAAGGATGGAGGGCTGCCTGCAGTACAAGTTCCGGTTGGTTGGCAACGGCGAGTGGATCAAAGTGGAGTTCTGTATATTAGGTGAGCATTCTAAGAGGCATGTCTGATTACCCAGAATTACTGCTGAAGTGCAGTCTTTAACAGGATGTCTGACTCGAGATTATCACAAAAAATAAGTTCTAATGACACATAAAATTTACACTTATTTCCCCCTTTTTCCTTTCCCACTGGAATGAATACCTCAATGTCAGCTTGTTAGCACTAAGCCAAATAAGGTATAGCATTTTATTTAAGGGGCTAGGAAGCCATGGTGCCTTGCGAGCTAAATCTGGCTGGCAGAGGATCATCCCTTATCCTATCAATTCACTGTTCCCCTCTAACCACCAGTCAATGTCTTTATGGTGATTTTTCAGAAGGGTGGAAGACCTGCAAGGACAATAGACTGGGCTGTGCATCTTCTCTGCAGTCTATATTGTCCCCAAGCTTCAAGTATGCTGGTGCTGGCCAGAGAGTGAAGCACAGGCCACAAAGGGTTCAGTTACACTCTGAGATACAATCAATTGGTGCAGAGTTCTTTGGATCATTCTGTTTCAGAATGCTTGTAAAAAACAGTACGTCTGAGTGTTCCTCTGCAAAAACAAATGAAAAAAAACCCCTCCCCATGGGAAATGAGTATCTCAGGACTCTAGCCTAGTTTCTATAGGGAAGGGTTTTTTTGTGAAGCAAGAATATGGTCAAGATGCTGCTGCATCTTAAAATCTAGTGGACATGCTTACTTGAAACACTGTAATTGCATGTTTATGTCATTTATCTGCACATTTGAATTGGTGCTTGTTCTCTTTCTGATCTGTAGTCTGCAATAGACTGGGTTGGCCACTACTTTGTATTACAAATTCTGAAGTACACTTTTATTGTTCTCCATATGAATTTTTTTTTAAAAAAACATCCCTCTTTTCTCCCATTGATTTGGGATCCAGCTTTGCTCCTGATTAAGTAACAACCGCTGTTGGAGTGACGGTCAGAACATTCATGCTGTTGTGTGCTGAGATTTTTTTTTTTTTGCTAATGTATCACTTAAATGAGGTATGTTAACACTATAAATCAAATTGTTCATTTGATTAGACTTTTTTGTAGGTTAAATTATTGTAACAGGTTAAGGTTTTTCATTATGGACCTTCTGTTTCCTTCTTCCCTGTCTCTTTTTTTGCTCCATCCTGGAATTATGTTTATTTAACCAGCTATATTTAGGTAGGAAAGAGGCTATAAACATCACAATATTCCATTCAGGTACAATGGAATTGTGATTGTTGCTGCTGCCTAGTGGTTACAGATGCCGGGGCATAGACATAGATAGTATATGTAGTGCTATAAATTCTTCTGGGTAAGATGTTGGATGTAAACTATGAAGAGAACTTCTTCACAAGCAAAATAGAAAACAGAGAAGAGAGAGAGGAAACTCACATCTCAAAAATATGTCATGGTGTAAGAATAATGCTAGTTAGTGAGTAACATTCAACACCTAGAAATACCTTACTCTTTGGTGCACTTGGCTGTTGAGATCAGAGGGCTCAACTGTATGAGACACTGGAGGTCTGTGATCCTATCTGCAAACAACTGCAATTTGTTTAAAAGCAGCTGTGGAGGAGGGGAGGACCAGTGTAGATTAAGACTATAGTGTGGCAGTAGCTACGTGTGTGTGGCAGTAGCTTCTCTCCCATGTAATTTCCTGGGTAGAAATCATGCCTCCTTGCAAAGTGGCAGTTAGCCATCTTTTCCCTCTACCAGAGTTAATAGCCTCTTCTTGGGGGCAAAGGATATACCTCTCTCAGGAAAATGGTTAGGTAAAGAAAGGCTTAATGCTCTCCCCATTCCTGTGCTGCATCACAAATCCCTGAGCCCCATTGTTACTTTTAAAAACAATTAAAAATAAAGGGAGCTTGATCCCAGATCTCTTGAATCACATGGAATTGAAACCTGATAATTTAAAAAAGGAAACAGAGCCATTCAAAGACAAACTCTCTACTCAAGTGTAATGTTAGTTTTACCATGGTTGCCAAAAGTAAAAGCAGCTGCATAGGTTACCTGTCTAACATCCATGTTGGCATGGAAACATGAGAAAATACATTTGGTCAAACCAAATTACATATGATGCTTTGAGAAGGCTTTTAAAAAATCATGTACAATTTTGTTTTAATACTTTGTCACAGTTCATAAGTGCAGAACTGAGCAATTTCCCTCCTTTTTGTAGTTTAATTGTCCTTACTGTATAGCTTTAACCCTGGCACATAATTAACTTTTGTCTTTGCATATTAACACAAGGAATTAACTAACCTAGCATGGGTTTTTTACTTGTTTGTTTTGTGTTCTTGAATTTTTTTTCCTGGGGTTTTGTAACTTGCATAATTTCATTTAATTATATTTCTGGTCACACTATTTAAAATGAAAGTATTTTGAATTATTATTGGGGGGTAGTTTTTTATTTTCTAGATTTATGTTCAAAAAATTCAGTAGGCTTTACGTACTTCTCTGCATGTGTTTGCTAAATAGTTAACAGGAACAATCCTATCTGTGTGGCCAGCAATGGCACAGCTAACACCAAAGGCATGGCCAGAATGGCCACCGGGTACAGGTCTGAGTCTGTGTGCATAGATGCATGCACACACACAACATTCTTTCTCTATATGCGGCTCTTAAGGTAGAAACTGAAGCCATACTTTAAAAGTTTTGACAGAGGTGCTGGTCTGGCGTTTAGGGATCCCAAGTCCCCCCGGGGGGTGGGGAAACCCCCGCCCTAGAGGCCCATTCCCCGGCGGCGCCGGATTGGGCCCCGGGGGGAACTCCTCCCCGACGTGCGCATCACCAGGAAGTGACGCGGGCACGCTGGGGGCAGGGCCACGGCTATTCCCTTGTATGGTCGTGGGCCCGCCCCCAGCATGCCCGGCATCATAACGTCACTTCCTGGTGACGTGCATGCGGTGTGCGCACTCCGGGAGCCACCCGGGAGTCCCCCGCGGAAGAGGTAAGTGACACTTGGCAACCCTACTGGCGTTACAGCGTCTGAATACTTCCAGTCTCATTTCTCTTCAGCAGTCATTCAGTCTTGTTTGTCCTGCAAAGCAACAGCAGAACTTCATCAGGTTTGCAGCAACATTGAGAAGGCGGCAGGAGTAACTGTTTCTTTAGAGCTGGGGTGAGAAATAAAGAAAAACTTGAAGCCAGCCCTGGAAAATCCATAAAAACGGCTTTGCATGTCTATAAATAGGATGCATAAACATATACAATTAGTATAAGGATAGTTAGAACTAAGGCATCTCAAGCTTATTGCCCATGGTGCTACCTTTCCTATGAGTGTGTTAATACAACTTACCTTGGTGTCCCAATGGTTCATCCTCCGTCAGCACATATCAAGCTTTAAGGGAGACAGTCAAAACCTTTTGTGCTGGAGCAGAAGTTTACAGCTTCGTTTACTACCGTGAGCATCACTTCTTGCTGTGCTGAGCATGGCCAGCCTCTGCCCTATTCCCAGGGTTAGGGGTGAAGAAAATGAAGGGTACTACTGTCCCTGTAGTTACACTCTGTTATGGAGGGTCTCAGAGCGCCTTGACCAGCATATTAGGTCCTTCTTTCCACCTGAATTTAGATCCGGGGAAGGAAGAGAGGATTGTTCCACAACCTTAGCTTTCCAAGGAAGCTCAGGGAGCATTGAAGATGAAACCATGTCCTCCCCCTTTAGGGAAGTAGGAAAATCATAGCAGCTACAAATTGGCCAAGGCCAGCCAAATTTCCAGTGTCATTGCTAGCCTGTGTGTGTGTGTGTGTGTGTGGCTTCCTGTGTTTAGTGGAATGTAGATGAATACATAACATGTATATACCTAGCTGTAATCCATTGTCCATTCTAATACTAGTATTAGGTTCCCCAAATGTTACCTATATATTACAGTGACTGTTTAAGAGTCTAGGCTGAATATGGCATGCCTGAAGAATGGCTTGGATCCACTTTTAGGCTACAGTGGGAGAGGAAGTCACATTCCATTGCCAGAAATTGTTTCACCTGCAATAATGGTCCATTGGATCCAAACCTGTTATACAGTATTAAGCCTGCACGGGCCTCATCCAGCAGTTGTGCCCTGTGTCACAACATTACATTGTTGTCTAAGTATAGGCAATCTAACTGACAATTTTACAGGGATGAGGAGCAATGTATTACTGATAATTGATTATTAAACAAGTGTTCTCTGTACATTAGCAGCATTGCTATGAAGACCCCTTCTGCCCACTAAACAGTTGAACATTAGCTTTCTAAACTAGTTTCGTATCTTTTAGCCTGTGATACATTTGTTTATGACACTGTAGGAATCCTGCAATCCAGGTTAGGAATAGCCTGATTTAAAATATGTTTAAATATATGAGCTTCTGAACGTTTGTTGGGTTGAATCCAAAGTTTGATTTCTGCTAACAGAAGGAATTTCCATCAGCAGAACTGAATTTTCCTGCTTCCCCCTGCTGCTGCTGCAGCCCTCTGAGGACAGAGGACCCTTAGGAGCAATGTGAGGAGTAAATGTGAAAATACCCTCCCTCCTTTCCACTGACAGAAAGCTACCTTGGCTCCAGCCTGGCACTGCTTGAAATAGGAGCCTCTGGCATTGGATACTTTGCCCCACATTGTGAAGATCCAGGTCTCTGGCCTGGAAATAGGGTTCCCAGCCTCCAGGTGGGACCTGGAGATCTCCCGCTTTTACTACTGATCTCCAGCTGACAGAGATCAGCTCCCCTGGATAAAATGGCTGCTTTGAAGGGTGGACTCTATGGCATTGTACCGTGCTGAGGTCCCTCCCCTCCCCAAACTCCGCCCTCTCCTGGATCCACCCTCAAAGTCTCCAGGTATTTCCAACCCAGAGTTGGCAACCCTACCAGGAAAGCTTTGTGGTAGTTGCACAGTTCTTCTGTGCATTATACATTAATACGAAGACTGGTACCCTACAATGCCCAAGAGGGCAATGGAACATCTTTGAAATATCAAGCCTTGAATAGTTCCAGTAAAATGTAGGCTAGAGGGAAAACAAGCTAGAGGTATATTTCTAAACAAAAATCACATTTATTTTAACTTTTCTGTGGATATTGCCATGGGAATGGTTGGATTCATTCATATAGTGCTCCTCGAATTGTGTGAGAAACGTGTTGTCTAAAAATATTGATTAATGTGTATTTGTTGCATTTTCTTATTTTTTCAGTCCTAGTGGGTCTTTATTGTCCTGTTTGGAGCAGGTTAAAACATACCTGCTGACGGATGGAACATGCAAGTGTGGTTTAGAATGCCCTCTCATCCTTCCCAAGGTAAAAACAGGGTACCGTGAATATGCTGTGAATGTAAAAGTAATATATTGAACTAAATGTTTTGCAGTCCTGCCAAGAATGTTAATGACATAAGGAAATACTACTTTACACATATAGTGTTTAAAATGTGGAATTTACTGCCAGATGATGTAGTGATGGTCACAGGAGGGGATTAGATGGATCCATGGAGGATAAGTCTATCAATGGTCCAAGCCATGGTTACTGAGAGGAACTACCACATTCAGAGGTACTAAGTCTCTGAATCCCAGAGCCAGGAGGCAACATCAAGTGAAGAACTTGGCCTCTATGCCCTGTTGTTGGCCATCCAGTGGAACTGGTTCACCACCATGTCCTCAGAAGAGCCTCTTCTGTTCTTATACAAGTTAGAGCCTTTCAGAGCTTCAGCTCAATCTCTGTTTCAGTGAATACAGTTTTAATAGCCATTATTTTGTAGCAGAATGGTATTTTTTAGGAAAAGTGTATTGCACAGTAGGATAAGGAGATAAGTCGGTACAAATATGATCTTTTAAATTTTTGTCTTGATTTTTAGTTGTAAGAAGCAAGCTGTTTCCACATTCTGCAGTGTAGCTTGAAGGAGAAACCATTAGCCCTCGCTCCCCTAATAAATGTAAAAGCAAGAAATGCCAGGTGCTACCTAAAAATGTTCATGTGTAACTCCAGTCAGTTACCATGCAACATAAGTACTGTTACATAAAATTACAGCAAACTTATTAATTGAGAATGTGGTAAAAAAACATGAATATATTGACATTGACCTGGTTACTTGCTGATTTTTAGCACTGATAGTCATATTGCCACACCCTGAGTGGAAGAGACATACTGTGCACGCCTATCTATCTGTGGAATGAGATGGAACTTTCCACTGGTCTCTTGCAGTCCCCCCCCCCCAAGTTCCAATGCTGTCTCCCAAGCTGCCTCTTTCAGGAGGCAGATAGCTCTGTGAACTCTTAGAGCAATTAAGTTTGCTGCCTGGAGAGTTTAAGTAGGAGGTGTGTGACAACCTAGGTAGAACAGGCCCAAGCCCTCTAGTGAGGCACCAAAAGCATGACCCATCAGAGCTTCATGAAGAACTGGTCATCTTGCAGTTGTTGAATACTGCGAGGGAAATTATGTTTCCAGTGCATTGAGTGGACTTTTTTATTTCCTCTGAAGTGCCAGTTACAAAGACAGACATAAAGGAAACTTATTTTTAATTTGATTAAATTTCCAGCTGAAGAGAGGATTTGAGACTTGTAACAAAATTTTATTGGTAATATGGTTCTGGTATTATTTTTTAAGGTATTTAATTTTGATCCTGGAGTTGCTGTGACACAAAGAACAGCTGAAGATGTTAAAGCAGATGAAGATGTCACTAAGCTATGCATTCACAAAAGGAAAATTATTGCAGTGGCTACACTTCATAAAAGCATGGAAGCGCCACATCCGTCTCTGGTTCTGACTAGTCCTGGAGGTGGAACAAGTAAGTGGTTTTTGTTTGTTTGTTTTTGCAAAAGAAAAGATGTACTTCGGACATACATGTCATTAGAAATGATTGATGTTTTGTGGAAGTCAGTTACAAATTATATTTGTTGATAAAATATCAAAATAAAGTGTGCATATAAAATGCAAGCCAGCATAGAACAAGCAGTTAGATTGTGTTGGGTGACTTTGGTAGACCAGGCAGTTTACTCTACCATGGTTGATAGCTAAAGCATGGCACACAGTAAATTTTACATAGTAATTCTGCTTTGCCGCATAGTTATTAACCTCCCTTCTGTTCCTAGGTCTAGCATCACATATCTTAGTGAAAAACCACATGGTTTGTTTGCAGAAGATCTCTGGTTCAACCCCTTATGTCTCCAACTAAAAGGACCTCAGGTAGTTAGGCTGGGAGAGACTGTTCCCTTTGATGAGCCACTACTAGTTAAAATAGACTGGGCTTGATGTCTAGAAGCAGCAGGGAGATCCATATGTTAATATATAGATATGCTGTGCAAAACTTCCATCTGTTGGTGAAAAGATAAAATGCTGGGGACATGCATTTTAGAATGCCAAATGACAATGAGGACTGGAAGAAAGCCAAGCAAGTAAAGAGGAAGGTGATGTCCCATACCATGCAGTGGTGTGATGGAGAATAGCTTTCCTGTTTTCTCATGTACATACTTGTCCCAGAACAGTGCTGTAGGTCCAGCATGGCTGAGACTTTGAGAGCAGTAGTGCATCCCAATAGGCTGAACAGGAGCCATGCCTTTATTTGCTCAATTTTTTTCATCATTTAATGCTTTTGATTAAACTATTTGATAACCATTATTGTGCTTTGATAAATTCAAGCTAACTCTCTCTAACTTATTTTTTATTTTTCATTTGTAATTGGAGTTTGCTTTAAAGGGAGATTCAGATAGCCCTTGGACAACCAAGTTTGGATTCAGGGGAAAACACCCTCCGGGCTTCTTCAGTCGTGACATGGCAATGTAGTGGAGGTCAGGCTAGCCTTTTCTCTGTTCGTAAATAGTGTAGGAGATGTGATTCCTGGACGTAATCGCTGATTTAGGGCCCCTCCGCACCGTATGTTGTTGTACATGTGATGTACACATGCAATACTCTTGCAGTGTTGTGCATGGGAATTTGACTCTGTATGCTGTCTGATGGGTCTTTGACCGTAATAAACTGATTGATTGATTGATTGACTCTGCTGTAGTATGCCATATTTAGCTGAATGACAGTAATTAATATTTTCTCTAAATCAGGTGCAACTCCAATAGTACCTTCACGAGCGACAACTCCAAGATCAGTGAGGAATAAATCACATGAAGGGATTACAAATTCTGTGATGTCAGAATGTAAGACTCCTTTCAAGTTGATGATGGGGGCCTCAAATGCCATGGGTAGGCTGTATGTGCAAGAGATGACTGGAAGCCAGCAGCAAGAACTTCATTCTGTCTATCCCAGGCAGAGATTGGGCAGTAATGAACATGGACAGAAGTCTCCGTATCGAGGCAGTCATGGAGGAATGGCTAGTCCAGCTTCATCAGGATCACAAATATATGGAGATGGCTCGATCTCTCCTAGGACAGACCCACTTGGAAGTCCAGATATTTTCACAAGGAATAATTCTGGTTTTCATGGAGCACCTAACTCTAGCCCTGTTCATATGAACAGAACCCCTTTATCCCCACCTTCAGTAATGCTACATGGTTCTCCTGTGCAGTCATCATGTGCAATGGCTGGAAGGACTAATATACCTCTTTCCCCAACCCTGACCACAAAAAGTCCAGTAATGAAAAAACCCATGTGTAACTTTTCAACTAATATGGAAATGCCACGTGCAATGTTTCACCACAAGCCACCCCAAGGCCCTCCACCACCACCACCTCCACCTTCTTGTGCTCTTCAGAAAAAGCCATTAACATCAGAGAAAGATCCACTTGGCATTCTTGACCCTATTCCTAGCAAACCAGTGAATCAGAATCCTGTTATCATTAATCCAAGTACTTATCACTCAAATGTCCACTCTCAGGTACCTGTGATGAATGTAAGCATGCCTCCAGCCGTTGTCCCTTTGCCAAGTAATCTCCCTTTGCCAACCGTAAAACCTGGTCATACAAATCATGGGAGTCATGTGCAAAGAGTTCAGCACTCTGCTTCAACCTCTCTCACACCCTCACCAGTAACATCACCAGTTCATATGATGGGATCTGGAATTGGAAGGATTGAGGCTTCGCCCCAAAGATCACGCTCATCTTCCACGTCATCTGATCATGGAAATTTCATGATGCCTCCAGTAGGACCACAGTCATCTTGTAGTAACATCAAAGTTCCTCCTCGATCACCGAGGTCAACAATAGGATCTCCTAGACCATCGATGCCATCAAGTCCTTCTACCAAAACTGATGGACTCCATCAATATAAAGACATCCCTAATCCGTTGATTGCTGGAATGAGTAATGTATTAAATCCTCCAAGCAATGCAGTTTTTCCATCTGCATCTGCTGGAAGTGGGCCCATGAAAAGTCAGCCTGGCTTGCTGGGAATGCCTTTAAATCAGATCTTGAACCAGCACAATGCTGCCTCTTTTCCAGCTAGTAGTTTACTCTCAGCAGCAGCCAAAGCACAGCTAGCAAATCAAAATAAACTTGCTGGTAATAATAGCAACAGCAGTAGCAACTCTGGAACAGTTGCCAGTGGTGGCAGCAATGATGGACATAGCACTTTAAACAGCATGTTTCCTCCTACTGCCAACATGCTTCTACCATCAAATGAAGGGCAAAGTGGTCGAGCAGCACTACGAGATAAATTGATGTCTCAACAAAAAGACCCTTTAAGGAAAAGAAAACCACCAACCACTACAGTGTTGAGTTTGCTTAGGCAGTCTCAGTTGGATAGTTCTGGAGTCCCTAAATCTGGGCCTGATTTGATAAGAAAGCAGAACCAAGCTTCATTTCCCATCACTTCTATGTCCCAGTTACTTCAATCCATGAGTTGTCAAAGCTCTCATATGAGCAGCAATAGCACTACTGGTTGTGGGAGCTCAAATACTGTTTTGCCTTGCTCTGCTAACCAGCTGCATTTTACAGACACTAATATGAGCTCTGGTACTCTTCAGAATTCACTGACACAGAATATACCTCTAAGAGGGGAAAGTATGCACTGCCAGAATTCAAACACTAACTTTGGCCATGGAACTAGCCCTGGTCCAAACAACCATCTTACAGGCTTAATAAATCAGAAGCAAGCCAGTGGGAATTGTGGGGTGCTCAGTCAATCTGGAATGGCTTTAGGAAACTCGTTACATCTGAACCCAGCTCAGCCAAGAATCCAAGCAGCCTCCACTCCAGTGATACCAAACAGCGTTGTGAGCAGTTGCAATCAAACAAGTCCTGAAGCAGGTATGTTTCTGGCAGGTATCTATGTATCTGAGAGTTTGAGCAAGAGTACTTTTAAATATGAATTTTATTGCCTGTCTTCAGGAAAAAGGAATGAACACTTCTGTTGCATGTTCTTAGTAATTCGGTGCATCACAAAATGTGCTATCTTATGTACTATCCAAGAATGGTATTCTGTAAGTTTCACTGGAGTTTGTTCTACATTGATTCCTCTCAAAGTTGTTGTTTGAGCGTCAATTCTTATTGTTCTTCTCCGATTGTGAGAAAATTCCAGTCATTTTGCAATAGAGCTCATGTAGTTGGTTAATACTTAAAACTTAGACTGACACTTTGTTGATATACTGGCAAAATGCCTGCCAAATAATAAGAACATGTATAGAAATGTGACCATAAATGAGTGTACAGATAAATTTTGGGGGTGGTTCTGTTCTTCAGTTAATTTTTTTAATGCTATAAAATATGCATAATACACAAAAAATATACAAGGATATGACATTCATAAATTCTCACCGTTAGTGTGATCCTTACTATAGCAATTCATATTTAATATGTCCATTAGAAATGTACAGAAGTACCAAAACACAGCTCCAGTTCTAACAACATTATAATACTTTGTTCAATAAAATGGTACTCTAACTTTTGCTGCTGTTTCACCAATAAAAAGCTCATACCTATATAGCATGCCTTATCTTAAACGGATAATATAACACAGCTATATTCAATAGAGATACTAAGGATTTTTGTTGTTCAGTCACACAGTTGAGTCCGACTCTTTGCGACCCCATGGACCAGATCACGCCAGGCCTTCCTGTCTTCCGCCGTCCTCTGAAGTTTGCTCAATTTCATGTTCATTGCATCTATGACACTGTCTAACCATCTCATCCTTTGCCGTCGCTGTCTTCTTTGACCTTCAATCTTTCCCAGCATCAGGGTCTTCTCCAGTGAGTGCGCCCTTCTCATTTGGTGGCCAAAGTATTTGAGCTTCATTTTCATTATCTGGCCTTCCAGGGAACAGTCAGGGTTGATTTCTTTTAGGATTGACTGATTTGATCTTCTTGCAGCAAGAGACCCTGAAGAGTCTTCTCCAGCACCATAGTTCAAAAGAATCTATTCTTCAGCGCTCGGCCTTCCTTATAGTCCAACTCTCACAGCCATACATGACTACTGGGAATACCATTGCTTTGACCATGTGGACTTTTGTTAGCAGGGTGATATCTCTATTTTTTTATCATGCTGTTGAGGTTCGCCATCGCTTTCCTCCCAAGGAGCAAGCGTCTTTTAATTTCATGGCTGTTGTCACAGTCTGCAGTGATCTGGGATCCCAGGAACGTAAAGTCTGTCACTACTTCCATGACTTCCCCTTCTATTTGCCAAGGAGTGATGGGGCCGGATGCCATGATCTTAGTTTTTTTGATGTTGAGCTTCAAGCCCACTTTTGCGCTCTCCTCTTTCACTCTGAGCAAGAGGATAGTGACTATATATCTGCCAATTCTTGCTTTTCTGGGTATGGGAAAGTGGGAGGCAGAGGGACTGATAACTCAGGTGGGGGAATTTCTTCAGAATTAGCAAAATCGCTAATTATGGGGTTTTCATTTTTGAATGAACACACAGAAACAAAGGTTTTTCCTCTGGATGTCTATGGATTATGTTGAGGTTTGCATGTTGTTTCAAAGCTCAAATAATATAACATTCATTTATGTTCTAGTGCAGGGATGTCGAACTCATTTGTTATGAGGGCCAGATCTGACATAAATGAGACCTTGTCAGGCCGGGGCAAGTGTGTCATAAATTGTAATGCCAGGTAGCAGAGATATAAACTTTATAAAGGACACAAACACAATTGAAGATTTTTTAAAACTTAAAATAAAACATGCTTAAAACATTCGCACTCTTGCAATATTTTGTTTATTTAACAGTCTTTGATAACTGACACCTCTTGCTTTGAATTATTGCATCAAAATCTGGAGACAATATCTGTCCTGTAGCAATCTTGAATATGCTGTTCAGGTGTTGTTCAGGTGTGTATCTGTAAGTTGCAAACCTACTTTTGATTTATTAACATTCACTACAGAAATCTCATGGTCAATGCTTTGAGCCTAAGACCCAGAGGAAAACATGAAATGGCTGGGCATTGTGAGCTTTTGTACATAAGTTGCTTCATGTGCTGGTCAGGAACATGTGAAGGCACCATGACACAGGCTGAGGGCTATGTGTTTGTCTACAAAACTATAGTCTTCCCCAGAGAATAGCTACAACTCCTATGTGGCAGTGCAAGAATAGAGAGACAGCAATATATATCAGCCTACTATTTGGGAAGTCTAGGTTCCAAATCCCCAGAAAGGTAATGCTCTGAGTGAACTCGGTCTAGACACACACACTCAGCCTAATCCACCTCACTGGATTATTCCCCATCTTAATAGTTCACATTGCTTTCCTACTGAGAAAGGCTAGATCATGAGGGCATGAATATAGTGAAAAGGGGAAGCAAACCCAGTTGCACCCAGGAGAGCCCTGGCATAATGGGCCCAACAAAACACACTCTCTCTCTCTCTCTCTCTCTCTC